ATGACCTCAAACGTTCGACTTATAGAAGAACACTGGGTGGAGTCACCTCTCTCCCTCTTAGGAAACCATCCAAGACAGCTACCAGCTAGGTGACAGCATCTAGAGCATGATTCCAGTGGCAGGCATTACATGGCTAAAATTCTGATGGATACAGAATCAGGTAAGGTAGCCATCTGTTTTATTCTTGAGGGTGAGTCGAAGTATCCAAATTTGGGTGTTCCGTTTACCTCTTGAGCACAGTACGTCCTCTTTTTTCAATTAATTCAAGAGGCTCCCATTTTTGTTAGTTTCTAAGACTACTTGAATCTGTGTAGCTGGTACTGGCTTGTTTTGCGTGGTCACAAGCCAAGATCACCGAGGTTACCCGGACGCTTCTTTGAGTTTCCACATGTACCGGACGATCGAACAAGTCATTTGCAAAGTGTGTGTTCTCCAAATTTGACCAACACTTGTGAATAGATCTGCTGCCTGCATATCTCCCCCCAGACGCTCCTCCATGCTTACTTGTTGTGTCCCTTCAATAATGGGAGAAACATTCACTGACGTTTTCAATTGTCTGTATGAAGTTTGTCCACCGTAGCCTGGTCTATGCTCATAGGTCTGCTCAGAAGTTGACTACAGCCAATGCCTACTTCAATCCTGTTTCAACATTCTAAGTGCTTGTCTTGTTGATAACTTCCGAAGAATCCAAAAATCCCAGGTGCTGTGGCTGGACAGTAAATTCACTACTCTGGTATATTCATTTTGTTTTCACTATATACCATTCCTCCTTGTTCCGGTTCGCTTGTCAAGTAAGAAAGTTGTGAAAGTTCTCTATCCTCTGCTTCTGGGTGTCCAAGATAAAAGTCAATGGTTTTATGACAGAGTAGGTGGGATGGGTGTGTTCAATTAACCGTGCAAAATCTCATGTGAGTGATAACGAGTGAACGAGTCTTGTACAATGAAAGCAGGCAGTCGTCGATCTCATGTCTTATGAAGGTGTCTGACCTCAGTGAATGATACCAACTGTGCACTGGATGCTCTGAGCAGTACTGAGTTGTCTGATATGAAAACTGATCCAAGGATTGATAATCCGGTGTAAAGCATGGCTCTTTCATTCCCCATTAAGCTTAGCTTTGTATCGTACGTGCTGGCGCTGGACACAGCTTTGACAGGAACAGCACAGCCCGGCACAGCAATGAAAGATGTGGGATGAATCCACAAGGTTCTGGGTCAGACATTCTCTTACTGCAATCGGGGAGGGCAAAAACAGCATTTTGAACCCCCATAGAACGTGTATCCAGAGCCAGCTCCCCGGAGAGCCTTTTATCAGTTAAGCGTGTTTTGCCTGATACCTCATCGCTGATGTCACATACTCGAGTTTCATTTTAGAATGGACAGTACACTTCTCAGGATTACCTATCTCGGTGTCAGCTGATAAATTTATCGATATTCGAACTTCCTACGGGCCCACATTGATTGGTCACCTAGGTACCCATGGTCATTTCCAATGCATTCGTTAAGAATATATATATATATTGCGGTCGCAACCTGATTGACTTGACTGATTCGACTGAGGGTTACGCTGTCTTTGATGTCTGTGCGTTGACGGATCGACCACTGTTTCAGTATATACTCGAGCAATCCTACAAGTACGGTGTACCAGCCAGCAAAAAACTGAGACGACGTCACAGTCGGGTGATCACAGAAAGCCAATGCTGCCAGATGCTTGAAACAGAGTCCTACGACCAGCACCATCTGCTTTCATGATGAAACGAAAAGATATATTAAGAGCACCACGTTTCTAGTTAAGCTGGTCGTTTTTATTTTGGAAGCTTCTCAGCAGTCCGTTCTGGAAAAAGTTCGATCCCTAATAGCTTGCTTTGTAGCTGCAGAAGATGTGTTGCTGTTAAATCATCTGTTCGGATCGCTGCGATTGAAATCCATTTATTGAGCCGTTTCATATGCTAACCCCGGCAATGGTAAGGTACTAATGCATTGATTTGTGTGCAATTATTTGTTATCATCTATCATGGTCGATAAGAACGTTCGAAACGACACTGTCTTTTTCTTCCATTGCTATTCATCTGCCTAGAAAGCCCGAGCCAGTTTGGGCAGACAGAAAGTTCCGGATTTTAAGGAAACTATCCATACGGTGGTATTTTAACTCGCAGTAGTGGCTGTTGTTCATAAACAACGTTCAACAGTAACCAGGATGCACAGGTTAGAATAGTGTGATTGGAAGCATACGGAGCAGGGCTGTCCCGGGAAACAGGTTGGTGGTGGCTACTTCGGATGCACGGTTGAGTCATCTTCGCTTCTCCCAACTCATATTTTCTGACCGATACACTTCCGATATCGGATAGATGTTGAATTTTGTCTTTCTCTGATTCAGTGCTGATTTGTTTACGGATATTTCAGCCTGGGTGTAATGCATAATTTCTGATTTGGAATAGGAGACCATTCCCGATGAACCAGTTATTTCATGTGAGTCAACGAAAAACATTTGAATGGGTGTCCTTCACACTCACCACTGGCGTTACCCTGAGGGCCGAGGTACAACGCCGATAAAGTGGGGCATCCATCTGGTGAGAATCGCACATTGAATAGCACTGATCACCACACAGTTCCGGGCTCACGTAATCCACTTTGGTATCGATATTTGTAGCAGCCGCCTCTACACCTTGGGTTAGCTAGCTTGTAACACACTTTCCTAATCAACTCAGCCACTTGGCGCAGATGTAAAGCAGGAGTTGTTACAACAAACATTCATTTGCGAACCAAGTTGGCGACTCAGTTGGAGAATACTACAAACGAGCGCTTCAGGTGACTTACAACCGAGTCTCACCTGAACACCAAGTTAATTCGCGAATGGGTGATCCTGGCAACTTACATCGAATCTGGTGCCAAAGTACGAAGTAAAACTGATGGAGGGTGCGCGACTAAGTCTGGTTACTGAGTCCCAAAATGGGCGAAACAGTGAATGGGCTGTTCAGAATTTCCGTGGACTTTATAAGTAGTATCGAAGAACAGTTGTCCTTTTGTTACGTTCATAGTTGTTATTTTGACAAGAAAAAGTCTTCAAAGAATAAATTAGAGCACTCATTTAAAAGGCCTTCACACGAATTGTCAGTACTTTCAAGTACTCATGACTCGAGTGAGAAATGTGTGCGCTGTATGATATCTGGCTGACACTGCCTTGTCTTTTTTGAATGATGGGAAGTCGTCACTCGAGGAATACGCGACCACGTGATGTAGTTTCCGTAAAGAAAAGATGAGCGGTGCTGCGTTATGTCCAAGCGAGAGCTAATCACATTGTTGATAAGCCAATCGTGGTCAAACACTGGCTGGAAGGTCGCGGGTTCCTGAGACACACACTACTAATGATTCCAAACAAGGATGTAACTGCTATACTGTGTTTCTAGACTTTTCAGAATAGATTGGTTCCACTGATAAGATGGAGGCTCTGTTGGATATCGCCTAAGCTACTCACATCAGTATGATGGGCAGATAGTTAAAAGCAGCTTTTTTGAGACTGCTGCACGAGAATGTGGTTGTGATGTGGTACATTTGAAACTCTGTATGCGTCTTGGGGTCTTGAACCTGCAAGCAGCAACTAACGATACAGTCAAGTCTATTTCATAAATAATCAAAATTCTAGGGGAAAAGTTTAAAAAGATTTAATTGAATAGAGAAGTTTTTCGGGGGCAGTGGACAATTGCTCAACACCCTACTGAATTAGATAACCATTTTAGCCACAATACATCTGAGAACACATTAGAAGAATGACTAGAAAGCCTAGTAAATAACACTCATTTAAACTTTTGAATATGTTCCTCTGTTCCAACCACTTTCTGTACGAGACAAACCGGGTTCTGTGTAGATCTGCAAAGTAGTAATCAGGGCTTGAACAAAACGTAATGTAGGAGTCTAATCGATTCTATCCTGGTATACTCTTGTAGGGAATATGAGTGGCAGATATGAGAACATTCTTGTGAGAGCAACGGCATAAAATGCCTATTCTGATGCGGAAACAAACGAGTTAATTAAGGATTCAGTTCATACATGGTCTTGAAATAGCACTACTCATAATATTGCTGAGACCACTCTGACAGATCACGATCGATTTGGGTGTTCTTTCGGCTCATCGGATATGTGCAGTTCGGTGGCTTTCGTCATCTTGTGTTTCATTTGAACCCAACCAGTATGAGATTCACATATGAGTCTGGTTTTCATGAGAGAGTAAACTTAACTGGACATCTCGTTTATGGTGTTCTTCAACCGATTGTGTTGCTCAATGGGGGCCACATGTATTAATCAGTACGATATTCATGGTATCGCCGTAGATTTACATAGAGAAGAAACTACTCACAAGTTTGAAGAAAATTCTTCGATAGCCCACGACCGTTTCACTCTTCTTGGGGCTCGTCAGGTAGGCACAGTTCCCGATTTGCCGTCAACCTTATATTCTATTTGAATCCAAATGGTACGCTCACTCACAAGTGGATGTTAACAAAAGATTCAAATGGATCTTCTTCTATCGCCAACGTGATTTGTAGCTATGTTTTATTTTACATACATATACCGTAAGAAATTTTCCGTCACTATGTTAGCATCCCACACGCTTGCTATAATTGAACTATCCACTATCCAACTCAGCGCCGGAATCGTTTTCCTGAGAAGCAACCGTTTTTTATAAGAGATACGTGAGAAAAAAATATTACTCATGCTTGCTGAAGATGCATGATTGCTGATACGTTAAAATGTCTGAGCTGTAATCTGTCAGTCGCAGCTTATCAGATTAGCCTCTTCAACGCGGATGGAATCCCAGTAGGCATGACGGGAGAAGGAAGTACAAGCTGAATATGGTTATTTCTCACTCATGACAGGCGATAAAACGATATTGAATCAGTGCTACTCCAAACATACAAGAAACTTGCTTATGTTTCTCACTGTCGGAGTTTCCGCGGAGGCTAAAAAATCGGCTCTTTGGCTCACTCCTTGTTTCTGAGGTTAAACGGCCAGTTTTTGTCATCATATCAGTTCGAACAACATTCCGAGTCGATGGAGGCTTCACTTGACTTGGTGTGCCGACGTTTTTTTATCAGAGTGAATAAACAGATTTTCAAATACAGTTCGATAAATCGATTGACTGAAATCTCAGTAACACTACTTAGAAATCGGCCCAGATCCGGCAGATACTTACCCTGTTCAGAAAAACGATGAAAATAATGCTTGAAAGTCGGCAAAAGTTTTGTTTCTTTTGGCAGTCGATGGAAACTCTGAACGAACCACTGCCGGTTCTACCATTCTCATAGGTCATCAGTTAATCCTACTACTCGGATTTCCATCTATCATAATTGGGAACGGAACACACCGAATTACATGTGGCAATAGGTGCTTGTTTGCGAATCAAGTTGGCGCTAATCGGAGATTCAGATGTAATTCAACTGGATTTCTGTTTTTCCATCTGTTTACTGACAAAACAATCTAATTGGGAGTCAAAAATTTCATTGCTGGATATATTTGAGTCGGTCTGAACCTAATCTGGTCGAGTTCCGAATTGTCTCTAGAGTTTTTCGCACGTTAGTAGCGGAATGTCGCATATAAAGTGAGCTGATAGTATGGTGTTATTCACAAGACAAGGGGATGAAGTTGCGGGGGGTTCAGTGAATTGCCATAGGATGCAACTGTGTTCAAGATAATAGGATTGTTTGAGCCGCGGTATCAAGTTGATGCTAAAGCCTACTAACAGCTCTGAAAGTCCTGTGACTTGAGTATACACTCTGTATACCCCGATTCAGTAACAAGATTCACTTCCGACCACTTGTCGGAATGAGCAAAAACCTTAGCATGAAAGTTTCTCAGGGAACTAATTTCATTACTCAGCTAGTCTGCACCATACAAAACTATCTACTGGTACCTCGATGTGTTCACACCTCGGAAAAATACGAAAAAGCACACGTTGAAATAACCGGTTCCGCTCTGGGAACATTCCGATCTTTTGTTTTTCTTCTGTTATACCCACGAGCGAGTGTGAAACGACTTGTTCCGGCCGTCTATCACTAATGTTTTCCCGTGTGAAAGATTAATTTATTTCACACGCGAATGCAGTCATGCAGACAGTCCGTCAACCGACTGACAGCTTACTCTTTCTCGTTCTCTCTTGCTCTCTCTCTCTATCTGTCTCTTCTGGGCCTAGATGCACCACACCACATCTTGAACATTGCTGTCGTCTTGTTGCGATTTACGGTTGAATCGATCGTTAGTAAACGGTCGTTGTATGTGTGCGTGTGTGTGGGACCAGCAAATGAAGTTTGACATCTGATCGGTCACCGAATTTCCCACGGTCCACATTTACCCAACAGCCCACGATAACGCAGATTAGGGTTGAGAGAACAAGGTTTCTCCAACGTGTTTACCCTTATGAAGTGGATACAAAACTGGGCAGGTTTGCTCTGTTTTGTTGAGAATCCGGTAAACAGTTATACGACTAGGGGGATGCGCCCATAAGCGTTTGAGCACTGTCCATGAAGTGAGGTCACTTATTCGTCGCCTCTCATGCCCTAGGTAAATAGGAACAAGAACTCAATGTGCCCTCGGGTGAAACAGACGTTCCAAAATGTGATGGATAAAAAACGACTTCGTCACTGACGCACATGGAGGCGAGGTGGGATTGGGTTTGAGCACATCCATACGCGAGGGCATGGTAACGTCAGGAAACAAAGGAAGGTGGATATGAAGTGGTTCGGTTAGTGTTGACCTAGCCTGGTTTCATCCGCTAACAATTCATTTAATTGGAAACCACGGTACCCTGGCAAACAAACATTCAGAGGCGAAGTGTCCTAGTGCCAGACGTGAGGAATGGTGATATTGAGTTCTAATCAAAGAAGCGAATCGCCATGGGTTTGTTGCAGCATAGTGACGAATTATCTCGTTAGCCATTACACAATACAAATAGGGATGGTTGCGATCACCACTTCACCACCTGGTTATCCGAGATGGTAACTAACGCAGCGCAAGCTAGTTGGTGTTGGAATGTCAACAAAGCACAGCCTGTCAGCTTTCAATTAGAAACAGTCCACAGCTTTCAGATTGTTGCCAAGCTCACCAAATACGACGTCACGATCAGTCGGAAAGTCACAAAAATAACAGCAACTAGAGACGGTTAGGATTCTGTTCACCGCTTCTTTGGATGATTACAGCCTTTACATCACAATTCCGTGAAGAACACCAGGAAATGTACTTTTTGATTTCTCTTGAACGTCCGCCTCTTTCTCGATAGGAGATCTGACCGCTTCAGGGAAGCGGCTTCTCCTTGACGGAGTCCCATTTTAGAGGACATTTTTAACGAGTTTAGTGAACGCAGATATCTTCGACAAGTCCAAACTGGCTCCTACAGTTGCACAACAATTAATAAACACAGACAAAGATACGGAGATGCAAAGTCAGAAGTCAAACAACTGAACGCGTGGATTTCGATCATGTGATAAGAGCGGTACTCATTCTTGGTCAGTTGATCGTTGACCAGTTTCATCTGGCTATGAGATGGTGGCCATAGATTTGGTCGCGCTTAGCGTCAACTATTGAACTATTTTCAGTTAGTTAAGTGGAAACAAATAAATGGCGGTAAGTTATTCAGTCGGGATGACTTGTGTTCACCAAGTGATTTAGGATCCCGAAAGGTTCCTGGATGATTCCTTGTAACAAACACCGAGTCGATTTCCCGAGCTGGTGTGTACTGATGAACAGACCATTAATGACAGTTTGAGGGTAGACGACTCGTCTTCGGGGCATCGTTACCGTGTAGCATGCGCGTCGACTGTTTCCCCTGGTGACTTTTACTCTAACTAAAGTGTGTTGTGAAGCACTGTCACTTCTAAGGAAAGTCTTGCATAAATGGGCATTTTTGACTTTAGGCCGCTTCCCGTCACTGGTGTTGGTGCTTCCTAACAAGGGGGACGAGTTTTGTTCCTGAAGTTCTGATCGTCTAGACGTAATATATTACTCATAAGGTTGCCGAAAACCCTTCAATAGCCCACGACCGGTTTCAC